TTCCGAGGCTTACTGTTCGGACATGTCCCTGAATGTCCTGTATGTTTTTAGATACACACCACATAATCACAGCCACACACTTTAATATTCTCCATGTTTTGACTACTGCTCTGCTCAGCTGCCAAGCTGGCATATCAGGTGACGTCACGGTTTGACGTTGCCTGCGTAGGATGGGGCTAGCCCAACGAAGTGATTAAATTGTATAGGCTATGAGGTTCGGGGTCTTTTCATCTTCTGGGCTGCCTGCGCGCAGTTTTGGGGGTGGAAGATGCCTGGACGTGTAATGTTGATTCTTGCCTGTGACCCTTTGAATAAAGCAGCACGGTTATATTTTTTTTATATACTCAAGTGGTCCGCTTCGTCTCACTGAGTTCCTGTTTGAAAGAACCGGACGTGGCTTTATAATAGAATCCGTTCCTACCTATTTGTACCGAGACCGGATCACCGGGGAAATTCTCACCTGTGACCAGTGTCCACCAGGCACGCACAAGGCTGCGCACTGCACCGCAACCACGCCCACCCAGTGCGTACCGTGCAGAAGTGACCACTTCACCGAGCTGTGGAACTACTTGCCCAGGTGTCTGTACTGCAACATCCTCTGCAATGAGAACCAGGAGGTGGAGACGGAGTGCTCATCCGTCAGCAACAGGGAGACTCCATGGTAGGCCTATGTGCAGGAGTATAACATGCCTCTTTCTCTGGATGTATAATGTCATACAGCAGCATTTACTGTAGGATGCAATGAAAAAGATGTTCTACTTATAAACTGACAACATGTATCGTTTTCAGTGTTGCTTGTATTTGACCTTGGGTCTGAATGTTACTTTAGATTTAAAAGCAGGAAATAGCTTGAGTCCAAATTTGGGAGCAACTTCACAACTAAATGTGAAATATAAAAAATGTCTTGTATATCAAACTGTGGCATTACTCAAATGTTAAATAGTAAGTACAGACTGTGGTCGATAGCTATGACTAAAATAAATGTTATTATACACACGTACAAAGTTCTGTAAAGTTCTGTGTGATATCAATGTGGAAACCTTTACCTGTCAGGTGGAGCAGCTACATAAAGTAGGTTACATGCTGTATTGTAAGGAGGTTCCAACAATCACAAGCAAGAAAACCACGGGAGCCGGCTGCGGGTAATCAAGTCTGGCTGTATTTTATCCAATTCACCACAAGGTGTCGCCATCCTCCCCTTTTAACTCTGGTAGACAAACATGTTTCAACTTGTTCTGTAGCGCTACTGATTGGTTGGTTGATTTTTAAACCGTATCAGAAACCTGTCTTACATCCACCTTTTCCATAGTTAGCATTTGGCCTGTCTTTTCCCTGAGAGGGTATTTCATTATTTGGTTAGTCATGTAGCTCTATAGGCTACAGTTACTACATGTGCCTCTACTAACAGCAGTGGGACCTGCTAAAACTGTCTGAAATTAACTTGCGTTAAGAAAAAACAACTTTTGGTTGTCAGAAGGTATTTTCAATCTGCAACTGCCATAATGCACATATCTATTCCCATTATTTCTACAGGTACAGGTGTACAGTGTTTGGAATTAATTATTATTATCATTATCAATGAACTATAGGTCCTTTATTATCCCCGGGTAGTTGTGTCAGTAATAGCCTGCACACTGCCTTCTCCACGTGCTTCACTTTAAGCATGGGATTGGGACCCCGTGGGATCCTCTTAGGAACTGCTTAACACCCAGTTTGGGAGCTGTTGGTGTCTGCTGGGACCCCGTGGGATCCTCTTAGGAACCGCTAGGGGTCCTTAAAGCCCAGTTTGGGAGCTGTTGGTGTAGCCTACTCATTAATATCTACTTGACACCGCCGCCCCCTAGTGCCACGCCACGCCGCACCGGCTTCGCATCGGCTCCCTGTCTGTCGCATCACCGACTGGGGAGGGGCCCTGATTCCCACTATTGGCTGTAGCCTACTGTATTACCGACAGTATAACAGTAGGGCCACGGTCGGAGAGGATGTGCATGAGCAGTGGTCTTTTCATATCCCTGAAGCACAGAGTCTGCTGGGTTTCAGCATGATTCTAAGAAGACTATAGCGGGATTTTCTCAGTTTTTCCTTCAGCATACAATCTCTGAACGCCGCCGAAAAGAGATGCGCCCAGATCAACGTGGATACATTGTCCGGACCCCGCGAGAGGAGAGGAGCATGTAACCAGGAGAAACGCACCGGCGCGGCGTCACCACCTGACACTTGTCTCTCTCGCTTGTTTCCTCGGTCTTTGAGCTTTTTCGATGTGTTTGACTGAACCGTTTTCATTGTTTTGGATATTATCTTCAGCAAAATGAGCGAGGAGGTGTCAGACGTCCCCAAAGAGCTTCTAGGTAAGAGGAGACAATTGTCGCCATGTATCCGGACTAGAACAATCATTGATAGGGAACTTGCAGTGTGCATGTGGTCTAGTAAGTTTTTAGGGACCTTCTGGCACACATGTAATATATTCTGCTCCTATGATACAGCCACACTTACTGTGCTGAGACACAATTGAAGGCCTAGTGTTATTGTCTTGAGGGTTTTCCAACCGTTTTTCCTATTGGGTCAGTTTTTATTATAGTCTCCACTTCCTTGTTATAGGTCTACCAAAACACATTTTTCCAAAACAGACATCAAATTTTCCACTCTAAACATGTCCATTAAGTCTCCAGACATCTTCAGTGAGTCTGTAAAACGCTTTATTTGCACTAAATCCTGAAACTGATTAAACATGCAGTACAGCTGTTGTTAACCACAGGGCAGTGAATGTCCTAGACTGCTGCTCCCTGTACTAGGAATAGAAGCTTAATGACTAAGATGTGAGGGGTCAGCCTGTCATCCCTGTGCACATAACCTTAGGATTATTTCCCCCCCACAGTAACATTGGTCCACTCTCTCATCTCCAACCTGGAGTTTTAACATCCCCAGTGGCCTCACCACTCCTGTCCTGTTAGCTGAAGTCTGGACTTATTTCTGTGGACTGTGGACAAATCTTACAGGCTGTTTGGTCGACACTGAGGGCCTCTTTGTTTAGTGAGGTAGCTCAGTTTTTGAGACCTCAGTGTTGGACAAAGTGACCCGACTGTGTAAACTGTAGAGGGGGTTTAAAGGAAAATGTTGCCAGATTAGGTAGTCACTAAGGCAGGCATGCGCTGACTCACTGAGTCAGAACATTTCAACTACTCAGTCTCTTATTTTACTGTCATCTGCCCTGTGGTTTGCGCTCTTACAGGTAGGAACAGAAAATGACACAAGTATATTCCTTTGGCCAGATTAATGTGGGGAACTGGATCCCCTTGGTGTCAGAATGTGCTGTAGTGTTGTAATTAAATTTTAGAACATTCAGTTTTCCCCTTTATCCCCTCTTTATGCTGAATGTTATTCCATAGCTGTATCTGCATCAGATATCTTCTGTCATAGCACACACTGAAATATTACGTATGGAATTCCACCACAAAATGTAATATTTCATTTTCTACACATTTCCCTAAATTTCAGTCTGACATATTGAGTATCATTGGACATTTTGGGATCTGAACTAGAATTTAAAATGACTCATCTACCAGTGGCTCAGTGGAATTTTTAGAAGTTAATGGAAAAAAATTACTTGTATTCAGATTCCTCTGTCCTCTGGATGTGCACATCTCTCTCTCTCTCTCTCTCTCTCTCTCTCTTTTTTTTTAAATCTGTATGTATAGCATTGTACAGACTATCAAGGTAAAATGTGTTCAGGTAATAATGCATTCACACATTTAGACAAGATGATTAGCCCGCTGACATACTGAAATCCTGTTTGACCGTCTGTCTGTTCGTAGACAGATCAAGATATTTTTTTCAGGACTAGAAACAGTTTTTATGGTCTAACTTGTGCTCGGGCTTAGGGTGAGCAATCTCCTCTTTCTTGATTCTAGCTGAGTGATACACAACACTGCAAGCTAAGTGCAGGAATTAGCTCTGGCATGATCCTACTGTCATGTGGTGTTGTCTACATGAGTACATAACCAGCCACCGCCTGAAGCATTCACTGGTACTGGTGATTCACCATCATCCTGCACTTCTGAGGAATTTTAACATGATCCTTCAGCTGGATCAGGCATAGGCAAAAATCTGACTTTCACAGAAAATGTTATATTGAGATTTTCCCATTTCCATCTGTCTGGTCTAAGTCATTTTCAGCACAGGTTTACCTCAGCTAAAATTAAAAACCTTCACATAACTTTCAAGAAACCAACACAGGACAGAGGTGCACACATTCAGAAACTGTGTGTTAAAAAGATATTGAACTGAGACGGACTCAAGCGCTGCAGGAAAGAGCCAGACACATTTTATCTGATGTCTTGGAAATATTTCTTAGGTGGCAAAGAAAAGACTAAGATTACCCTTTAAATTTCACCACTGCTCATGTGCAAAAATTGCATCTTTGTCGTGTCAACAAAACACGGACAAGGTGTTGTACTGTGCCAAGAATGTTTACCTACCTGTTGCCTTAAACTGTACCGGAAATTTGTTTTTGTGGTGGTGGGGGGGCGTGGTGTTTTGTGGATTGGTTGGATTGCTGAGTGCCTGCTGGTAGAGCTGTAACTCTAGCCCGAGTGTGCATTTTTTACACTTAATCAGGTGTGGTGTCACCTGTATCAGTTATTAGACACACCCGGTGCTCTTATCAATTTGACCCTTGAATGTCACTGGCCTCTGGCCACATGACCATGTACCTAACCCACTTAATGTGCATGTTTTTCTTAGCCACCATTTATGAGCCTGTATGTGATGGGTTCTTTTTAAAGTATTTGTATTATTTAGGGACTCTTAGTTGTGTGCCTTTAACGACCCTGACGAAGGCTTCATGCTGAAACACGCTGGTATTTTCATTAAAGTTGCTCAAAACACTGCAGGTGTTGCCGGACCTTTTGTTTTCCTTGGTGTGGGGTCTTGTCAGTGAGCTTTGAATTGTACGTAACCAAAAAAAAAGGCATATTGGCTGTTGTTAAATGCAAGAACCTAAAATGTTTGTTTTGTCAAAGTTTTAACATCCTTCCTTGATTTCTACACACAGAGAAATATTGATTGATGAGGCTGAATACAAATCACATGGCCAAAAACTGTCTGCCTCATTAAAATGCATGTTTCATTTTGCGTAGAGACCCACTGGAGTCAGCGCTGTTATTTAGAGGACATCTGAACTATAGTTTTAGAAATGACGCACATTTTCACTGGAGTTTATTTAGAAAGCTCAAGGCTGGCAGATGCGTTTTGCCTAATTATTAGTTTCACTGTGATGTGATGATGGTTTGAGGAAGCCTGTGGGCGAGGATACATGCATGCCAGCAGAGAATTCCTCTCTGTCTCAGACACACACAGACTACATCAGCAGCTGTGTGGAGTGGCGGCTGACCCAGTTCTGCTCCCTAACTGTGAACGCTTCTGTGGTGTGAACAATCAATCAGAACAGAGGAACACACACTCACCATAAAGCTCTGTTCGTATTAAAATCTACACTCTGTTTCCACAGTTATACGTTAGTCCAACAATTTTTGTCTGTGGGTTATTTTAAATTAACTGTATGGCAAAGAACATTTAAGAAAAGACTAAGAGGCAACAGCCATTCTAGCACCTGTCTGATTTCATACTCTTTGAGCTACATGCTAACACCAGCAGGCTAAGATACATGCTGATGTTAGGCAGGTATAATGTTTACCGTATTCATCATTTTTGTTTAGCATGCTAACATACAAATTTGTACAAAAGTTCATTGGTACAGAGCAAGACAAATATCAAGCCCTTGGTGTCACTATAAGAAGTCAAGGGATCACAGAGGGTTCATCCTTTAGGGGGCCTGAATGCCTGTAACGATCCATCTAATAGTTCTTGAGATGATTCTCGTCCAGACCAACCTATCAACAAACATTTCAGTCCCCAGAGTCGCGCTGCTAGCATGGTTAAAAATGCACATCACAAACCTGAGATGACGCGTTCAGTTTAGGTTTTGTCTGAGGGACAGCACAGCACCCAAATATATACTTGATTTACAATGATAAATAACTAAGAGACGCATCAAATTCTCCTTTTGAGAAGTTGTTTAGCCTAATGAACAACCTTAATTATTAATCAGTTGTCAAAATTGAGTGTTAATTGTGTCATCACTATTATGAACATGTATTTCTGCAAGGACACGTACGTAGTTCTTTGTTCTAGTTTAGTTTTTGTAGTCCTCAGTTTCATGATGTGCAAATTACATGAAAACTTAAAAACATGGTTTCTCCCACATTGTGTTAAAACACGATTTCTTCTTTCCCTGTTCCTCCTGTGGCAGATCTGTGTTGTGCTGAAATTCAGATTCAGTTGGAGCTTTTGATTTAGATCAGGCCTATGTCAAGATTTTGTGGGAAATAAACTACAAAGGAAAGAGATCATTAAAAAAAAAAAAGCACATGAAAGCTTTTCCCCCTTTTTCTTTTATTCTGTTACAGTATATGAAATTATAATTTTTTGACTTTTTTTTTTATTGAACCTTTCATAAATTTTAATTCAGTGATGTGCAAAATGCTCCATATTTGCTTCTGTAGCGCTCCTCATGTTATCTCCTCTCTTCTCTGTAGAGAGTGTGAGGGACACAGTGGGGAGGAAGGTGAAGCTGTCGCTGAGGAAGAGAGTCAAGCTGGAGATCAAAGGAGACAAGACGGAGAACAGAGTCTTGGTGAGTCGACTCCGGCAGCTTTCAACCTTCATCATTAAATGACAACTTCTTTCTTTTTCTCCACCATTTGTATGCTCTTGAAATGTACCCTTTCTACCTAAGAACATCAAACCTCCAGACCTTTTTATTCTCATGTTCAGTTCTCAAAAAGCACAGATTTTTAACTTTCACAATGAAAATTTATAGGTGGATTTTTGGTATAGTTTCTTTCAATGAAATGCAGAGCGTACTAACAGTAGTGTAGTGAAGACCTCATGTCTCATTTAGTCTGAGGACGGTTTGAGCAGGGTTAGTCTGGATGGTGGCAGCATGGCGTTACAGAAATGTAGTAATAGCCAAATTTCAGAACTGTCGGGCTGTGTGCCACTGCCACCACTGCTGCTCTGCAGTGCGAGACCCTCTGACTGAGACTGTATTTATCCTCAGTGAAAAGTCCTGGTAAAACAGTAAAAGCAGCAGCTGAAGTTAAGCATCCAGAATCAGTACTGAGCTTGTTCATTCACCCAGTCACGCTTTGGCCTGTGCATCCACACCAGTTGGCAAGGTGGAAATAGGAGCTTAGACCATTAACATTGGGCAACGGGGCAGTAACTCCACTGAGTGCTAAATAATTAATACCTGGTTGATCATTAAGAATGCTTGTTGGCTCTTTCTCGGCTTAAGAAGGCAAATACGTTAGTTAGACATAGTTAAGACAGAGTAGCTCCCTTAATCAGTCAGAGTCTGAGTGGTGTCCATAAAGTTAGTTTGCTGTTAACAAATGTTTAATATGTGTGACTGTGGGTGGAAATGGCAGAAGCCTCTTGATTTTACAGCTCTCACTAGAATGACAAGCGTTTTAGTTTTACAGCTCTGTGTGGGCAGAAGTTCGCAAGAAGAGGTGATTATAAAAGTTTTGTGGAGACGCCTTCACAAATAAGTTGTGTACTTTAGGATGTGATGTGAGCTGCGTTTCCACTGTTGGAACCTAATGGGCGGTGCACCCTGTGCTTCCCTTAACCACCACCCGGGGTAACCAAACAGGTTCATGTGGACAATCCTGCTTTATTATTCCACTGCATCTCTCGCATTGCATTTTCTGTCGGTCTCTGTTTAGAGGAGAGAGGGGCTGCGCTTCTCGCTCTCACACACACACACACACACACACACACACACACACACAGCTGAGCAGAGGACATGAGCTAATCTGTGATCCTAATTTCCGATTATCTGACAGCAATGTCAGCATGTGGGAGGTGGACATAGAGGATAGTAGCACACGCACACACAGAAAAACAATGTAAAGAAGTGGGAGTCCATCTGGGGAAGTGAGGAAATTCACTGGAGTGGCTCTGGTATTTCATCCAGACAGAGCATGAGAATGACTCGGTGGGTGTATCAGTGCCGCTCGACTGGGCTGAATAAATAAACCACCGTTTGTTGTTCTGCAGAGAAACAGCATTGGAGGGGCTGATTATGGAGGAAATGGATCATGGAGAAAGCAAACGTGTCATGGAATTGTAGCTTGAGCTTTTTAGTATTTGACTTTAGACATGATGAGAGATCAGTATATTTACAGATTGTTTAATGATCACATTGAAACAGTCTTTAGAGAAGTGTATGAATGTTGGGTTTTAAATTCTGCTAGTAGAACTTCATTTGCTTTTAAACCTCAGTTTATTTTAGCTTAATTTATTGTCACAACGAGAATCAAGAATTTAGCCCAGTACACAGAGTATGTCTAACCAGAGTGGACTGGATGGCAGAATGTCAGTCAGGGTTAACAAAGGTAGCACCACACCCTCAAGATGAGGATGAAAGAGAAATGTCACTGTGCAGGAAAAGCGTGGTAACGAATCAGATGGTTTAGTACAAGTGTTTGTACATGTGTGAGATGAGACACAGACGCAGCGCAAACATTTGTCAGATCTTTATTAACGGATGACAATACAGTGTAAAGGAGCGTAAGCGGCCCTGCTCTCTGTCAGGGAGGAGTCGTCTTCATGCTGTGTGTGACCGATAGAAAAGTGAAGGTTAATAATGCTGCCTGCTTCCTGTGGCTGAGAGTGAAACACTCACCTGTGGGTATTCTGGGTGTTCTTATTGTTGTTGTTATTTATACAGAGAGAGATTTATTTCAGACAATGCAGGACATCTACAGTATCCACAGTGTAACGTACACAGAAAATGAAGGGAGGAATATGGTTATTTGCACCATCGATTTTCTTGTGTGTCAAATAAACACAAAGCGTTCCTTTTTCTGTTCTGCTGAGCGTCACTCAGAATGGGAGGGGAGCACTACAGTGCCTGGGGCATCTCTTAAGCACACTAAAGCTTTATGGATACAGTCACCTCCCGTCTTTGAAGATGGAGAGATGAAGGAAATAGAGATAATAGCATCAGTCCATCAAGCACACCCCAGGGAAGAGGAGAGGCGGGAGGATGAGGGAAGGAGGCAGAGGAAATGAGATGTAGTGATGTACAGGGCAGAGGAGATGGAGGCAGGGGGTGGAAAAGAGAGCAAGGACGATAGAAAACAGCTGTAGACTAAAAAAAAACTCTTGCAGTTTGACAGGCCTCATCAGTGACATGGTGTAAAACTGGAAGTACTGTGGCTTCAGAAAGTATTTGAACCCTTTTAATGTGTTGTAGATTAAATTTTTAGTGGATTGCCATTTTTGCCCATTAATTTAGAATTAATCTTTAGAATTCTGGGGGAAATGTAATGATCAAAAACTAAAATCTCTTATTTACAAAGGTATCCAGACCTTTAATTAATTGCTGTTCAGTAATTTGCAGAACCTTTTTTTTGGCAGTAGTAACAGATTCAGATCTTCTTGGGTAAGTCTCTACACAAATGGATTCGGGTGGTTTGTCCCGTTCTTCCTGGCAGATCCTCTTGAGCTCCGTTGGATTGGAGTCATCTCCAGGTCTCTCCACAGCTGTTCTATGGGGTTTGTCTACTAAGCATCACCATTTTGGCATGATGACGTTATCGTTTAGCCCAAAGTACTACAGTGCCCACATAAAGCCTCACAGAGCTGCTAGCATGGCTGCAGACTGTACTGCAAGTCTTGCTGTTAACTGTTTTGCTTTATGTTTTTACCATACCACTGTTACAACGCACAGATAGGCCTACTATAGAAATTGTGAATTTTAAAACATTGGCTTCCCCTTGATCTCCTGGTGTGAAAAAGGGACATGCATAGGTGTGTGTTTGCCTTAGCTAAGGATTGTCCCCAATAGTTAACTGCTTTATTGCATCTCATTGTTTGCTGTGTGGGAGTGGCACTAGCACAGCACACATGACACCATGGAACAAAGCTGCTACACATCAACACAACTGGTTCTAGAGTAACACAGATCTCAAGTTACAGAATCTTCAGGGTTAATTTTACACTTTCAAGATGAAGAGCGCAGTTTCTCATAGTCACTCAAAACAGAAGGGGTCCCACTGCCCACACAAGCCTTTCAATGACAGTGGTCTTCTGTTACGTACCAAAAAACCGTCATGCCATTGTCTTGTGTCACAGGTCAATGAGACATCATGATCACCTATACAGTATACTGTTGACAAAGAACAGTATGTAGCTACCTGGCCACAAGCTGCACAATGTTCTTTACACCATTTCTCTCCCTCTGTTTCTCTGGATTTTGACCTTGATACTGCTTTTACGTATTTGTCTACCATGCCACTTGGCACCTTTAATAGCACCGTAGCGACCTTTTAATATCTGATAAGATTTTAAGAATTTTGAGCCCAACCCTTCTGTTGTACCCCTGTAGTAGTATTTTCACGTCGGCTTGGTGCGTCTCTGCATCTAGGGTGGATGCTCAGTTTCACCCTAGATGTTCTTCAGTAAGATGATCTAAGGCTCAGTTTTTCTGAAGAATAATTTACTAGTATTAGGATCAAATGTGACTATATGTTTGACTAACTCTGGTCACCACAGTGACCCTAAACCTTCTCAGTTCCATGGTGGAAAATGTTGAAGAACTCTTGTTTTTTACATATTTGAAAAGACCAGAGCCAGAGTTTATCTTTCCCACCGTCCTTCTCTAATTCTTTTTAATCTAGAGGACTGTAATTAGAGACAATAAGAAAATAGAAATGAACCAATTTTGTATTAGCAGATGATCACCTGTAATGTCTCCCAGTATCTTTTGTTAGTACATTCTAAAATCTCTTGCTTAAAGGCTACACAGCAAGTGTCCTCCACATTTGAAGTTCCCTTTGTTAATAGGCCACAGTGTCCTGTAGGCTGAGCTTTTTTTTAAACATTGGTTTTAATACTTTAGTTTAACTTCCATGATGGACACTATGCTGTTTATTTCTTGTGATCACAGGATGACGACCTAAGACTAAGCGGAGGATATATTGTTTTGGAAATTAATGCACCTTAATATTGTGAAATGTGTTATATGAGATTAAAAGCAGTCCTTCTTTGATGTGTGTATGAATGCATACAGTACACGTCCTATAAACTAAGCAACCAGGCAAGACCCAAACATCTAATACCACCCCTAGGAGCCTTTCATTAATTAGTGGCAGGACATATGTCACAGAAACTGTTATAAATCACTTTCAAAACAAAGAAATACCCGTTTTCCATAAACCTTTTTTTATGTTTTTCTACAAGCCCGTCCGTTGTTCTGTTTACATTATGAGGTTTGTGGTCAGAGCAAAGCCTTGACAAAAACCTCACTGACCTGACAGAGTTCTCTTTTGCTAATCTATTTTTGTTAAGCTGTCATTCCTGAGGCTGGGAATAATTTTGTAAGCACAGTATGTTTTGGAGCCTTTGGGTCAGTGGACATGAACATAACAGTATTGTTCTTTGTCCTTTAACCAAGGTTCAGCCTAAGTTCAAACAGTTATGATGTTCTGTGGTACATAGGCTAATCATTTTTCTATAAATAGTTTACTGTGCTTGAAGGTCCTGCTTTGTTTTTTGTCATAATGCTGCAGTGATTAACATAATTGGGATGACATTCAGAGCAAGTCAAGCAGGTCACAGTTT